ATCTTGTTGAATTGTTTGTCAATTTTAGCATTGTAGACCACATTGTCCTCGAATGAGTACAACAGTACGTTCTCATCGTCAATTCGCTGCATTTGATATCCACGCATGTCAGAGACGGATACACGGCGACGTTCAGCGGGTGAAAGATTCATGTACGAATCAAACAAGGTTCGCTTCTGTCGCCATTGTTCGCTCCTCATTCGCTGTTGATTGAATTCACTTTCAACGACTTTATCGAAATATCGATTCAACATCTTGTCCATCATGTTTCTCGACTTCACTTTGTGTGGCTTGTATCGAATGATTGGAATTGTAGCAACGTATTCATCCATTCTTTACTGAAGAGGTATAGCACGAAATCGTGAATGAGATATACACATTCGAATTCAAGGAAATCGGACGGTCATTCGCGTCCGTCAGTACCCAATCAATGTAGTCCAGGTTCGATTGTTCAATCACATCGATCGATAGGTTGTCCCAGGTGATCATGTTGTTCAGTCCCATCGATACATGAATCAGATTATCGATAAGCGGACTCTTCAGACCGAATGTTTGCGCATTGATACTACTGTACACTCGGATCACACTCATGCCATTCGTGATGTCGTATGGCTCTGAGGCAGCAACGTTGCTACCTCCTACCACACCTTCCAACTTGAGGATACTCGTGTAATCAGGTGCGCCACTAAGGTCAACAGCGGTCGCCACATCACTGTTCAAGTATGCTCGGTTGACATCGTCTACCTGGATGGAATCGGCTATCGCACGGCATAACTCGGTAATCGAGTAGTAGCCAGGACCGACGTTGTAGACCATTTCATACCCTGACAGCATTTGAACCTTCACGACATTCATTGCACGAATGTTCCAGAGAGATGTCGTATCGATCTTGCACGTAATCGAAGTGATCTTGTACACAAGGTCACGAGGCATGATCACTGTGTTGAACGTTTCATGGTATCGTTCGTTGTTCTTCGGAATTACTGTATTGTGGTTAATCACACTCACCGGTAGTGCACGACTCATTTATTGTGTAGAACATGGAAGTGAATGCACACTGTGATCGGCATTGGTGAGGCAATCGTTGCACCGGTCTTATCGGTCAACGAGAATGACCATTTGCGACTTTTGGGTACCACGACGTTCATGTGCGCATTTTCCGTAAACTCCTCGTTCAATACAACCAACGGAGACTGTCGTCGTTCTTGCATGTTGTTCACTCGATCAAGGACAAGGCAGGTGCCAGGCGATTCTCCCTTCATAGTCACTCTGTCGATTACCATGTCGCTTTTGATGAGATTGTTACTTGTAAATTCATGTTCGTACGTTCGAGCAATGTTGAACACTAGATTCATTTATTATTTCCTCCTGAAACGGTGAATCCGATTAGCAGGTACACGTTACCAATGAACGATAGCGGGTCACCATTTTCGTCCTTCAATTCGTACACGATGCGATCAAGCAATTCAGAACATGGTAGCAACATGCGATTCTTGTAGAAGTAGTTCTTGTACAAGTCTGTCCATCGGGAAGTCATTCCGCAAGCAGTGGTATCGTCTTGCTTTTCACGATGTTGCAATACAGCTGTATGTTCGATAGACCGTTCGTGATATCGACAGGATACTCGGCAACCATTGGACCATAGTTGGCATAGTACACACCATCGTCGAAAGGGATACGCCATGTATGCGATTGCGATCCTGAAGCGGGAACTATGGTTCCCAGGTTACCACTCAACGAGAACACGTAGTCAGCGTGAATGTAGTACCCATCTGACTCAGCTTTCCATCGTATGTTCAGTGCAGCCGAGTCAAAACACTGGTTCAAGCGCCATATCATGTCAGCCTGTGTCAGTCGTGATGGTATGGTCCACGTGAGTGTCTGAATGTCATCCGTGTACGTGATATCAATCTCAGCAGCACTATCGTCTAGTGTCATCATTCCGTACGGGAAGCGAATCGTCGTGTTAGCCGTGTACGACTCAGATTGTTCCCAGTCAACGAAGGTATTCAATGATGGAACAACAACTTCATCATTCCTCACATAGTGGGGCAGCGAAGCTGCCCCGGGGAAGCTTTGCTTCCCCACATACGTAACACGTGTCGGTTGTATGAATTCGATCGACACAGCACGATCGGAATACGTACTACCTTTGATCATATTCGTCACATTCAGTCCATCGATGTTTGCCATCGCAAACTCGTAAGGTGATGTCAACTCGGGCATCCTGATGTAGTAATTGCGATAAAACTCGAAATAACAAGACAAATACACACCACCTGGTTCAGCGTATGGTCCGGGTATAATCTTGAAACATGGATTATCACAAAACAATATGAATCGTGGTTCTGTACCATTTCGACATCCCATTCGTACTCGACCACCATTATCTGCAATGACATATACCAAGTACCCTCCGAGAGACGCATCTACATATATCTTATTGATCACATTAGCGATCATATTCACGATATCAATAGCGCTATAATGACCTCGTTGGATTGTGAGAGGTCTTTCGCCATATCCACGTATTCCAAGTATAAAATTCGTCGTATCGATAAACACTTTCGTGTGATATATACTATCCTTGGAATACCAAGGTCCGATCGAAGAACCATTCGATGACACCAAGTCACCTGTATTTTCCGATGTGATATGCAATTCCAATTCTGGTGCATAGTCCTTCGCAGTCCATGACATGCTTTCTCTATTGTCATTCACCGTCCACGCAATCGCATTCTGGTGAGATGGAGGTAGTTCCATAGCACTCGCATATCGAGCATTGAGCTCATTAAAACATGTGGTTGTAAGAGTATTCATCTTGATCGGGGTAGACGTATCGTCCGTTATGTAGAATTCACCACTATCGAGTACTGAGCCATCAGCTAAACGCATCGTGTATGTCGCGAGAGGCTTTAGCAGGAACCGATTATCAGTCGTACGCATTTTCCAGTCATACGCAATGAAGGTGTTTGATCCTATGTACGCATGACCACCAATACCTTGATCATTCGTCATATCAGGAGGGGAATCGCTTTCAGGGTTGAACGAAGCTTCCACTGGTCGTTCGATGCACAGATTGCGTACTGTTGATGCCAATTTGAACCATGGAGTCCAACCAAAACCATTGATCGTCGTGTCAACACTGGATCGATCGAAATACCATCCGTCTGCTTGGACATTGAAGCGAACATGATCATCCTCGATCGTCATGGATATGAGTGGAAGCACTTTCACCATTTCAGCACCGACAGCCTCGATGAACTCGGAGAACGTGTAGTAACCGACAGGCAATGTCAACAAGTGCGATTCCCTGTCATCAGTAACAACCACTTGATTACACGAGGAAGACAGGTAGTAGCGCTTCGGGTATCCACTCCTTTCACCAAGATATCCGATTCGAATCCAAGGATCGACCTGATCTCTGGTGCATTCGTGAAATCAATCATGTAGAAGTGATCTACCGTGATGTGGAACGCATTCTCACCGCTATACACCAATTCGAACAGGGCATCACTTGCATTCAGCTTTGCAATGATCGTTTCGATGTCATATGCACCGCGTGGTATCGCGATCTCTTGAATCGTACTGCCAGCATTGATTAGCACCACTTGGTCAGTCGGCACGTTGTGCAACACGAAGTCCGTATACAACGACACAGACGAGATGTAGCACTGATCGAATGACAGAGGATTGTCCAGCTTCACTTCCTTCTTGGTGGTATTACCGAACACTTCAATCATGGAGAACTGGTTTGCAGAGGCAATCGATGAAGGCACTTCATCATACACGTCTTCTATCGTCAACTGGAGTTCGAATTCGCCGTTCAGTCGCATCATCTTGCCATCCATATCGCGGAACACGAACATCAATTGATCAAACCGAGTGATCATTGGAATGCACACGTCTTCCACAGTTCGCACATAGTCAGCCGTTGGATTGTCAATGATCATCGTGGTGAGCAGGTTGTTGTTCTGGTTGGCAATCTTCAGGTCCGATGATCGCACGATCGTCGAGTAGACCTGGATCACTTGGCGATTTCGCGTGATATCAATCACATTCGATCCACTGAACGAAGCAGGTAGAATGATCGTTCGTCCATCAAAGCCGAGGATCTCACGAATGTCAGGTGCATTCGTGAAGTCAATCGTATGTGGAGACTGAATCCAGATACAACCGAACGACGAGGCATTCGTGGATATGGAGAATGTAGTATCGGTCATGGTATTGAGCAAGGCAATGATCTCACTGATCGTGTAATAACCAGCAGGGATTGTCACAGTCTCATCATTGCTGTTAGTAATCACATTCGTCGTGTCCACGTAGTTGAACATAGCCTGGGCATCCTTGGGTCGAAACAGGACAGTCATGGAAGTGATGTAAGGATTCTTGTACTTGTACGGGTTGATCCAAGTGAATGAGCCGTTGGTAGGTGAGCCTTGAATAAGCATGGAGTAGTGCATGGTCTTTCTCTCTTTACCATTATATAAAGGGTAGACAATTACCACATTGGTAGAAAATGGCAGAAAAGGTTTTCGCGCTTTATGCGCCATGGCCATCAAGGTTGCCAGGTTGAAAAAAGGAGGCCAGGTAGAAAAAAGGAGGCCAGGAAAAAAATGGCAGAAAAAAGGCCGAAAAAATTTTCGCGCTTTATGCGCCATTTTCCTACTACTTTCATATGTCAACAGTAGATCAGATCGAGTTACCAACCCTGAATCACAACTCATCCGCTGTCAAAGTTGACACTAATTCTTTAAAGGTGGAAAGAGTATCGTTTAGAACTCTCTACTTTAAATATGCAACCAAAAGAGATATATGGTATCTATGCTTGGGTATAGTTTGTACTAGATTGAGATGAATTGTAAACTCTAGTTGCTCTGGTATCTGGTATTCTAGCTCCTGTTTCTTTTATCTTTTACGGACTCATATTGGACGAATTAAATTCCCAAGATGTAGATTATCATACACTTCGTATATTACTATTCCAAAGCATTCTAATGATGCTTGTTGCTGCAATATTCGCTTTTTTCGAAAGAGCATGTCTAGGTTGTTTTGCTGGTAATGTTCGACTTTTCTCCGTGAGCTGTAGAAAACATAACACGTCATTATCGTGACCAATATTTATTGGCGCTATTTCGACGTGATGTTGATTTTATCGAAAGGTTCAGTCCCGGTCGTTTGGGACAACAGTTCAGCGAAGAGTCCTCACGAATTGTCGAGGGCTTAGGACCTGGTTTGGGTTTAATTGTCAGATCGCTTTCTTCTCTGTTTAGTGGTATTGTTATTGGAATGACTCGCGTATTGGTCTATCTTTTCTGAGTTAGTAATAGGATTGGATGCTCACTCTCTTGACTTTACTTGTTTCTCCTTTTATCATTTTCTTTAGTTATAAATTTGATAAGAGCTATGGAAGATACACAGAAGTTGTGATGAAAGAACATCAGAACGCTGATGCTCTTGCCGAAGAGACTTTCCGCGATATTAAAACGGTTATGAGTCTAGGAGCTGAAGAAAAGTTTATCACACGATATTGGAGAATTGTAAAGGATTGTTGTAAAAGAGCTAGCCTTTGCACTACAAAGGCAGGAATCTATTACTCAGGCATGGCTCTCTCAACCCGGCTAGCAGATGGATTGCTTTTTCTCTCCGCACTTCTCATCATCAATCATCAACGCTCCGATTTCCCTTCAGAATTATTCACTTCCAATTGTACCACTATCATGGACAACTCCGTGAATGTGTGCTTCCAGAACCTCACAGCACTGTCAGATACTTGCATAGAGATCTGTAATCGCGTAAATACTTGCTGGTTCGATGAGGGAAGCAATTCTTGTCTCGTGGGAGGCGAAGTTGTGGTCGTGATGATTTCTTTGCTCCATTGCTTTGCTGGAATCGGTAGCATGTTCTCGAATCTCATCAACATCGCAAAAGCGAGAATGTCCGCAGCGTATTTCCTGCAAGTCATCGAGCGCGAAGACGCCATGGATTCGCTCGGATCCACCGGAATTATTCCTGAAAGTAGCAAGGGAGACGTTGTGTACAAGAACGTGGACTTCAAGTACGCTTCGCGCGACACGCAAGTGCTGAAGCAGCTGAACTTCACCATTCGCGAGAACGAAATGATCGGCATCGTGGGCGAGAGTGGCAGCGGAAAGAGCACAATCTTGAAACTCTTGATGCGATTGTACGCTCCGACGGCGGGAACGATCACATGGGACGGAGTCTATGTGACGACGCTCTCGACGGCGTGGATTCGCGATCAGATCAGCTACGTGGCGCAGGAGCCCGTGCTGTTTAGCGGAACGATTCGCGAGAATCTGCTCTATGGACGCGAGGGCTGCACCGAGGAGGAAATGGTGGAAGCCGCGAAACTGGTGGAGGCCGACGCGTTCATTCGATCGTTCCCCAAAGGGTACGATACCTATGTGGGCGAGTTGGGAAGCTCGCTGTCCGGAGGACAGAAGCAGCGTATTGCCATCGCCCGCGCGCTGATTCGAAACCCGCGAATTCTGGTGCTGGACGAAGCGACGAGCGCGCTGGATTCGCAGAGCGAGAAAATCGTGCAGAACGCGATGGAAACGATCCGAAGAAAGAACGAAGCGAAGGGAAAGGGACTGAGCATCGTGATCGTGGCACATTGGCTGAGCAGCATTCGATCGTGCGATCGCATTGTGGTGGTGGAGGAAGGAAAGATCGTGGAGGAAGGCGATCATGAAAGCTTGCTAGCGAAGGGCGGAATCTATGCGGGATTGTACAAAAGCCAAGAAACTTTAGAAAAGGAGGAGAAAGGAGGAGAAGGAGAAGGAGCCGAGCAAGCGGAAGAAGAAAAACAGAGGGAAAACGAAGTCGTGAAACGAAATGAAAATGATATCAAAATCGAAACAAAGCGAAGTACCTCCATTCAATCGAGTCGCCACTCCAGTATGAACCATGCGAGTCTCCAACTCGTTCAAGAATCCAAGGAAGAAATCCCTGATGAAGAGGAAGATGCTAGGAAAAAGAAAGTCAGCATGTTCAGTCTTCTTCATTTCGTACCACATCATAAATGGTTGTTTTGGACGGGTCTTTTGGGAAGTATTCCTCGCGCTGCGTTCCCTGCTATTTACTCGTATTGCTCCTCTGCTCTGCAGAAATTGTTTTTCACGTTCGATTTGAACCAATTGTGGAAGGACGGCTGGATGTATATGTACATTATGATCGGGTTCACGATTATGAATGCTCTGGGAACGCTTTACAATTGAATCGCTGGTGGCGTCGTGGGAGAACAAATGATTGCGAACATCCGTGGAGAAACGTACAAGAAGTATATTTTCATGCCCATGGAGTTTTTCGACGATCCCAAGCACATGCCCTCCATTCTCACGTCGCGACTGAGCATCGATGGCCGACGTGTTCGAGACTTTGTGGATCGCATGTACTTCATCTTTGAGAACTACCTGCTCATCATCATCTCGCTCGTGACCTGTTTCACCCCCGCTGGAAACTGGAAACTGACGCTGGTTGCCGTCTGCATGTCTCCTTTTCTGCTCGTCGTGGAGTACATGCAGTGGATGATCATGGCGAAAGTGTCCGATCAGATCGACAGAGAGCTGACTGAGCGATCGGGCGACTTGACGGATTGCATTCTGAACATCCACACCGTGCACGCTTACAATCTCCAAAACACGCTGAGTAACCATATCATGAAGAAACTCGAGTCCACCAACAAGAAGACAACGCAACGATTCATGCGCGGAGCCATCGGCCAAGGCCTTTCTCTCTTCATGCCTTGTGTTTACGATGCCGTCGTGCTCTTAGTTGCGTTCTCCATGTTCCAGAAGGGCGAAATTGACTTTGTTCGCATGATGTTCGTTTACATGACTGTCAATACCGGTGCATACACTTTAGGAATCAACATGGCGTACACTGCGTCGAATGAACTCGCCCAGCGCTCGGCGAACAATCTCCTCTCTGTAATTAACATGGAGAACGAAAACGACGAAGCGCGTGCGCTTGCCGAGAAGGGAAAGGACGGAGCGATCACGTTCAATAATGTGTCGTTCACGTATCCTTCTCGACCCACTTATAAAATTTTATCGAACATCTCATTCACAATTCCCAAGGGATCTTCCGTGGCTTTCGTGGGTCCCAGTGGGTGTGGAAAGAGTACGATCATTTCGCTGATCCAGCGAATTTACAAACCGGAGAGTGGCGAAGTGTTGATGGACGGAGCCAATGTGCAGAATGTCAATTTGGACTCGTATCGCTCGCTGCTGGGCGCGGTGAACCAAGAGCCCTGCATGTTCAGCGGCACGATTCGCGAGAATTTGGTGATGGGAGTGGATCATAAAGTGTCCGAAGCGGAGCTGATGGACGCTTGCACGCAAGCTTTGTGCATGGATTTCATCAATGAAATGGTGGATGGATTCGAAACGGATCTCGGATCGACCGGAAAGTCGGTTTCGGGAGGACAGAAGCAGCGATTGGCGTTGGCTCGCGCGATTCTTCGAAAGCCGCACGTGCTGCTGCTGGACGAAGCGACGAGCGCGCTGGACAGCGAAAACCAGGACAAGTTCTTGGAGGCATTGGAGAAGTGGCGATCGACGCATCCCTGCACGGTCGTTACTGTAGCGCATCGACTGAGCACGATCGTGGACAGCGACATCATCTTTGTGGTGAGCGAAGGAAAGATCGTGGACAGTGGAAAGCACGCAGAACTGCTGAAGAAGTGTGAGTTCTACGCAGCACTGGTCAAGGGACAGATGGGTGAACAGTAAAGGATTCTGTCTATTTTTGTTTGTTGAATCAAATTGGAGTTTGGGTGTGGTTGAATAAGTATGGTATATATACGTGTCAACAAACAAACAAACAAGCAAACAAACAAACAATTCATTGACCTGCAGGAGATCTTGAGCGGGTTGTTCACCGCCTATTATATCCGTACCTATATTAGCCTTGGACATCTTCCCAGTAGCCGACCTCTTGGGTCTGCTTGCTATCCCTTTGCTCCAGATACCAAAAAGAGTAAGCCGATCATAGTAAGTGCTTTGCAAAAACTTTGCTAGTTCCTCACAACCAACCAACTCACTCCTCTCCCCAAAAGACTTCTCACAACCAATACCTGGTGCCTGGATTTCCTCACAGTCCTTCCTTCCTGTGTTCGGGACCCAATTGTCCTTCCCAAGGCTCTCCCAACCATGATTCTCCCCAGACGAGGTACACAAAGAGAACCAATTCCATGTCCTCTCCTGTACCAGTCGTAGACGTTTTCGGTTCGACGGGTCCAAGACAGTCCTCCTACTGTCAGTCCATCTTGATCTTGTCCTCGTTCCAGTCTTGTCCTTGTCCAAAGTCTTGTCCTTGTCCAAAGTCTTGTCCGAAGATAAATCCTTGTCCTTGTCTGACCACTTCGCCGCCATCTTGAAAAACTCGTCGATTCCAGACTGTCTATTCTTCTTCCTACCCGGTACCTGTGGCAAAGAGGTCACCTTAACCGGCGCCGAAAAGCTAGTTGGTGGGTGTGATAGCGACACAACTAACCAACTTTTCCCTCTTAGGTACGCCCCCAGGCGTCGAAACTCTCCCGCTCTCTACTTGATCTCCCCTTGCAGGTCCAACACTAAGATCCGACTTTGTCCCTCCGCGTCTCGGACTTGTGTCCTTCTCTAACACTCGTGTCAACCTACTAGTTGCCTCTGAGTCGTTCGGACTATCGGGCAGAGGTAGGGCATCCCTCTTCACAGACTTCTTCTTCACTCCCTGTACTTCTGCTTTGTGGGTCGACACATCATCCAATCCGAGAACCATCCGGATCAGAGAAAGGCTCCACGTCACGCTCCTCCCCCAACGTGAGCCTCTCCCTGATCCTCCGGACCAAAGCCAGTCTTTCTTTCATATATCTCCGGCATTTAAAGAGGAAGTGCTCTAGGGTCTCCTTCTCGCACTCTCCGCAGCAAGGACACTTGCACCCTTCTGGCCCCTCTAGCTTAGGGTAGTGCGTCTCCACACAACACCAGCTCCCACAGCGCATTTCCAGGATTACCTGACACCCTCTAGCCAACTCCGGATGCCTGAACCACAAGTCCAGGTAGCGCCGGTTGATGGCTCGTCCTCTTGTCAAGTACGTCCTCAGAAACTGCGCATCGCTCTCCTGCAGCTGGCGTATCCAAAGGCGTGGAATCATCCTCCGTACATATGAGATCTCGAAGAAGTCCAAGTCTAATATAGATACGGATGTAATAGGCGGTGAACAGCCCGCTCAAGATCTCCTGCAGGTCAATGAATTGTTTGTTCGTTTGTTTGTTACTCTCCGTGTGTCGCAACACCACTTCTTGCTTTTCACCTCCAGGTCTCTTCATACGGTTCTCACTATTCTTCTCTTGCGTTTTTATCGGAGTTTTGCCGTGGTTGGGAGATTTCGTACCAGTCCTTCTTGATTTTGATTTCTTATCACTAAAATGCATCGTCTTCTTCATTTCTGCATTCATTGGGATTACCTCAGGCTGTTTTCTCTCACTGTCCTCTTTTAACTTCTTACAAGAGCCCTTGCATACTTCTTCTCTCTGTATCTGCACAACTTCTTCTTTTAACCGATTTTCTTCAGTACTTTCAACCGGTTCCTTCACAGACACCTCCACCGAACTCTTCCTTGACGTCCTTCGGCTCTTCACTAACCTCTCATTCTTCCTAAGCTGCGGAAAACCAGTCTTCCGGAGACACTTCATCAAGAATCGTATACTTCTTCTCCAAGTACAAGCTATATCAAACTCGTCTTGCACGTGCTCTTGGAGGCGTTTCAACACCATCAATACGAGTTTTTCGGGTGTTATCATTTCACTCAACAATAACGAACTCCCACACCTGATTAGCTAATCCAATCAGTTCATCGTATTTATTGGGTGAACCACTTTTTGTCCAGTCAAAGTGGTGAGGTCCCAGGCATGGTTGAAGGCCATCAATACTCGATACCCTCCTGGATTCTTGCCTTTGTGGATCCGCTAGTACTCCCCTATCTAGATTCTTGGCACTCTCCGTGTAGCCTTCCTTCGCTTCCCCTCGTACGCTCCGACCCAACAGTTCTCTTAAACACGCAGAGAGTATATGAAAGAAAAACTGCTCGATCCTCACCCCTGTTCTCTTCATGAGATCTGCATCAACCCCCTACACAGAAGAGAGAGTGGTCTTCTGCAAAAGACCCCATCCTCCACTCTCGATCCCCCTATCCTCAGTGACCTCCAGTAAGATCTCTAAGCGTGTCGATTTCAGCGAAATCGGTCTCGTCATTAGAGTGGTCCTGGGTGGATAAAAAAACAGGGAACTTGAGCTGGGTTTAGACCTTGGTAATCTAGATTAGTTTAACGATCGGTAGTGGTGAAGTAAGTAGTAGGGAAATGGCGGCTAGCGCGAATCCCCTTTCGACCCCTTTTCGGTCCACTTCAGGCCATTTCCGACCCTTTTTATTTCGAATCCATGACGAAAGAGCCATAAAGTCAGGGTCTGAGGGGCGACTTTGCCCACTTGTTTTTTTGCCTTTCATAAGAATTTCTCCCTCCTTTGTACCAAACGCGCGGAAACCGAAGGCCGCCTTTTTCTGCCATTTTTCTGCCATTTTTCTGCCATTTTCTACCCTGCTGTCCAAAGTGAATAATAACTTTTCCTTTATACTCTCGACATTCGGTAATGTCCGAATGCGAGTGTGTGCACGTTGTCGTCCAAGATCCAACGTTTGTTATCTGTGCATATCATGAGTGTCTTGGTTTGTTCCTTCGTGCTGATATCGAAGGCCTGGTTGTTGATGCGTTTGAAGCTGCCTTCGATCACTGCATTTCCCTTCTTCTCTGCCTCGAGGACACGCTTGTACAAGTCGATATTCTTCACGCTCATTCTCTTTCCATCGATCACCACGTTGCGAGGAACTCCCTTTGCTGCATTGTGTATCACTTGCTTCTCATCAACCAGACAGTACATCTTCGGTCTCAGTCCCACGAACTCTGTAATGCGATGTCCGTTGTGCTCGTCCTTGAAGATGGGACCAGGCAACTTCTTGTTGAAATTGAGGAACGAGTCCAATGAAGGGAACTTGTTCTTGTCCACTTCATGCTCGTAGTACTTTCACGAGTTCTTTATAGAAGTAGCTCGTGTTATCCAATTACGAGAAGTCGAATGATTTGTACATGTCGCACATCTTGTGAACGATGTTGCCACGATCATTCAATTGTACGATGAGCGAATCCGTGTCTTGTCCCAGTAATTCCGCATTATCGAATGTGTTCTTGAGCACGTTGTAGTAGAAATCGTAGATGATGTGTTTGGACATGTCGAGAATGGCGAATCCGATGAAGAACGGCTTCTCCACCCTGCGCACCGGTGTATTCAGCTTGATACCGATGAGATTCTCGGAATACATGGTGGTTCCAGCGATCATGTCATATCCATGCTTCTGAATGATTGCCTCCCGTTCATTCCATGTGTTAGCGAACTTCACTTTCATTCGTTTCAATCCAGTCTCCACGAATTTGCCATAGGTCGAGTTTGCCAACAGCTTGTACAGGTTCTTCTCCACAGTGGTCTTAGACTTCGCTCGTTTCTCACTCAGCATGTTCACGTACTCGAAGATGAACGGTGCCTGCTTGAATCGAATGATGTGGTGAATGTGAGTGACACAATATCCCTGTTGAATGCCCAGTTGCAACAGTGAGTAATGCACGAGATACTTGCGACGAGGTACAAGATCGCAGATGAGCTTCGGTGTATTCGTTTCTTTCACTTTGTCCACAATGTCGTTCTTCTCAGCGTACTTCTTGATTCCATCGGAGTACATGCCTGCCTTCTGTACGGGGAAGAATGGCAGATCATTGAACTTGTCGTGGAGTTCCACTGGTGCCTCGATGTCACATTCGATGAAGAATCCATACTTGCCGAACGTCTTGAGTGATTGCACCCACCCATTCGGGTCACGATTGATCTTCTCCATCACTTCTCGTCGCTCAGGTACACCCACCAACTCATAAGGCATCATTCGATGCATGGCTCCTCCATACAGGTTGTTGGCGTCCAGGTGGTAAATGCCTTGTGACGACTGCAGGTTATCATGGATACTATCGTTGCCATGGCTGGCGAAGTCGATCTTGGCATGTCGTTTCACGATCTGTGTGATGCCTCCTCGCAGGTTCTTCAACAATCGCATGAAGTCATCGATATCATTTGTTTCCATCAATCGAATGCCCTTGCTCTCATAGAATTCACCCATGCGATTCAAGAACAATTTCACGAGCTGTTTCTCGCTAAGACCCTCATTCGCGCTAATGCGCATGATGTACTGAGCCCATTTCCTTGCGAGGGTCATGAGGCTACTCTCACTATGATCGCCCTCCATTGTCACCTTCAAAAATAGCGAATATGCCATTTGTGGTGCTGTGATGTAATGCATGGGATCAACACCGAATGCCTTCAGTGTGGTGTTTCGGAAATGCTCGAATGCATCAGCCATGAGAGTCACATCGAGTACATTGTACAATTCGTAGTATTCACCCCATGTCTTGATATCGAAGGTCCGCCACAGCTTCACCATGTGATCATATTCGTCTTGGGGCATCATCTCACCCTTCATATCATCAATGCATTGCTCGCGAGAAGGAATGACGGTATTGTTCAATGACTCGTATGATTTGATGAGACTATAGAACATGGGGTCCTTCCGCGTCAACAAATCGATGTACTCGTCATTCCATTGCTTACCTCGAGACTCGCAGTACTTGCGTAGTTGTTGCTTGGTGTG